CTTTCAACATAAGCTCTATATCTCCTCATGGGAACACACAGTATGTCCTGCCAGCAGGTAGAAAGAATCATGGATTCTTTTGATCTAAGGCATTTACTAAGTTGCCCCTTATAAACACCATTATACAACTTGAATATTCTAACTTTGTAGCTATTGTCTTTGATTAACTGATAGCAAGTGAAGGAATAAAGTGTTGCTACCTAGGATTAAATAGCATTAAAAAGTGAGAAGTCAGCTCAGATGATGTGGCGCAGTGGTTGAGCATCGACCCATGAACCACAAGGTTACCAGTTCGATTCCTGGTCAGGGCACATGGCTGGGTTATGGGCTGGGGTGTGCAGGATGATGTTTCTCTCACATCAATATTTATATCTCTCTCCCTCTTCCTTCCTCTCTTTCTAAAAATCAATAAAAACATATATATTTTTTTAAAAGTGGGATATCAAACTGTCTTGTTAACAATCATTTCTAAACCAGTATCATCTATACTAATAAAAGAGTAACATGCTAATTTAGACTAGATGGATTAAAGTCTTTCCGGATGTACTTCCTGACAAAGCTAGGGGTGTGGTTGGCCTGCAAACTGCCCACAGACCCTTGCCCAAGCCTGTCCCGCCCCCAGTGGGGACCCCCCCCCCACCCGGATGTGGGGCCTCCTTCAGGGAAGACAAGCCAGCCCCCACCCATGCACCAGGCCTCTATTCTATATAATAAAAGAGTAATATACAATCGACTCTAACGGCAGAATGACCAGAATGATTGCTGGACCAGTCATTATGAGGTGCACTGACCACCTCTTGGTCCCTTTCTCCCGGACAGCAGGCACCGGTAACCAGATGGCAAACTAGAAACCAGGGGTAGGTGGAGGTGTGGGGTGGGGCTGACTGCAGGCAGCTGGGGAAGATGAATTTCATGTGCCGGGCCCCTAGTGTTGTATAATAAACTGGAGAGGGGAGGGAAGGGGAGGAGAGGGAAAGAGAAGGTAAGGGAGGGAAGAGGAGGGGAGGGAAGGGGAGAGAAGGGGAGGGAAGGGGAGGGAGGAGAGGGGAGGGGAGGGAAAGGGAGCAAGGGAGAAGGGGGAAAGGGAGAAAGGGAGAAAGGAAGAAAACTAAAACCTCAAAAAGGAATGAATTCTAATATGTTTTCGGTTTCATAGTCAGTCTCTGAAATTTAATTCTTTTTTGAACTTGGTCATTCACTCATAAGAAAAACAATTCCTTAATAGTCATCTTGAATAAGAAACAAAATCCTTTTGAAGGACACTGTGCACTGAACTGACAGTTTTTTCTTCTAAAGCTGTGTTTCCTGTCTGATTTGTGGAAAAGCTGCTCTTAGAACTAAAAATGATCTATAACAGAACATTGCACTCCTAAGGATAATGACATTCTGTCCCTTTATTTTTTGGCATACAAATTGCCATATCTTGATGGAACAATTATCTGTTCTCTTAATGTTCCCTTTTTAAATTATGGTCATAGCATCCCTGTTTCTATATCTTTGTAAAAAACAAAAAAGAAAAATCTTTTCAATAATCCAGAGGCTTTCAATCACCTTATCTATAAGTTATCATGAAGATGAAACATCTAGGTGAGTGACAACAATTTATCTTTTATCCAGATTCATGAATCAAATAGATACAACTCACCTTTCTACACACAGCAAGACCAATTTCCTTCATGAAAGCATGAAATGCTTACATCGTTAGAATCCAAAACAAGAGCTTAATGCTTCAGTAGTGCTGAACTGAGACAATTCTTTATTTAAATGCTCCTATGAAAAATTGATCTGCTCTTGAATTTTCCATGATTAGTTCTCAATTTAGAATCTTAGATATTATTCAAATCAGATCTCAAAGTCGGTATTAGTGGGCCAAAAGGGGATGTTAGTCACTGGAAATGTGCTGTTGCTAATACGGATTTCACGTTTAACAAAACCTACATGGTAATAAAGTGGATTGACTGTGTGTGCCTTCTTATAATCCAAGTCACAGAAATAAATCAATTTTTATTCATACATTTTAGTTACTTAACATATCCTTTACTAATTCCAATTACACACCCAAGTTTCTAAACAACTCATGTGAACACACATATTAATGTAATCAGAGAGCAAATTCATAAATTATACATCATATGGAAAGCTAATAAATTACACAATTATATTAAAAAATCATTTTCTAAGTCAATAACAAGATAGAGACCTAGTGAAAAACTTGAAGTTTGAAATGAAGAAAAGTATTCCTTTGGGAAAAGCTTAAACATTCCCTCACCTGTTATCCAATTTTTACTGGAATATCTCTTACAGAAGTGTTCTACCATCTATTTGGCATGTAAAACTTTAGCAAATTCATATATATGCTAGAAATATTGAATTTTTCTTTCCTTTTCCTAAGAGTTAAGTGTAATCCACAAGTATTTGTCTTTTCCTCCTGGTGATTTAACATTAAGTTAAAGTCACCTAAGATAAATTTGATATCACCTTAGGAGAGGTGAATAGTTGCAAATGGTAAACTTTAGTGTCACTCCACCGTTATTTACCAAAACATAAAACTTGGAAAATAATAATTTCTTTTCCATGCAATTGAGAAAAGATTCTAACTACATTTTGTTAGTTGACATCTACATCACCTCAGGAGAATTTCTTTTATAAAGTATAAAATTACCTAGTTAGCTAGCAAGCTACCTACATACTGCCCATATGCAAGTATTTGTGTGCTTTAATTGGACACAAAATCAAATGCTGTGCAGTTGAATGGGAGGAATGGAAAGAATCAGTCATTATTAGCAGAGATCCACTCTGTTTTTCACAGTAATGAGCAGCCATTCAAACTTGATTAAAGTGACAGCACACTGACATAATATGGCTATTAATTCCCTCTGAACAATACATTAAAGAAAAATTTGGAATTCACATGAAACTCAGTACCCACCAAGGACCTCATATGCTTATTTCTCAGGCTTCAGTGAGCTTTCCTGTGTGCCTGAATGCTCTAACTACATATATCTGCACAGGCTGTTATACACAAATCTATCAATAAAAAGTAAAAGAATTATAACTATATTTGTTAATGTGTTGCTTTCCTTCAGCAAGCTTTGGAATAGTCAACTTTCAGGAGGAAAAAATAAAAACAGAAACCTCTTTGCAAGCATCTGTGTAAAGTCACTTCAGTGTTGGGAACAACACTTCCATTAGACCAAAGGGCAACCATCTCAAAGGTGACAGGGTATTGTTCTCTTTCAGCTTAGGATAATGATGCTAAACTCTCCTGGTAAGCAGGAGATGCATCAATTCGATAAGCACTCTTCCTTAGAGAGGCAATAATTCTTCACTTGTTTTTATGAGTTTCTACACATAGCATTGTATAAAATTCAATGTTATCTTTTTATTTCCTTAATAGTTACAAATTTACATAAGAAGTTCCTCTTTTAGCCAAAATCGGTTTGGTTCAGTGATAGAGCCTTGGTCTGCAGACTGAAAGGTTTCAGGTTCAATTCTTGTCAAGGGCATGTACATTGCTTGTGGGCACATTCCTGGTGGGAAGTGTGCAGGAGGCAGCTGGTCGATACGTCTCTCTCATCAATGTTTCTAGCTCTCTATCTCTCTCCTTTCCTCTCTGTAAAAAATCAATAAAATATATTAAAAAACAAAAGAAGAAGTTCCTCTTTTAGTTAACAAATCAAACTAAAGGGAATAGAAACTCTGATTTTCATTTTATTTAAGGGACACCTTTTCTGCTATGATCATTTATTTTACATTAGTATTAGACATATAGAAAACACACTTTTTTTCCCCCTAAGAGTAATATCGAAGAAGATAATATAAAAGCTACAGTTTGTCAGAAGCAGGGTTCTAAAATGAAAAACACTGAACTTCAGTTTTAGTCACTCACTTGATCTTTAGATTATAAACTTTTAAAATCAGATGTAATTTTTGCAAAAAAACTTGATTAATGTTTAATCCAAATTTGATACTCTTCCCTAGTTGCTCATAAGATAAATATTCAGAAAACACTAGTATAAAAGGGTTTGATCTGTTGTACTGGTTTAAGTAGAATTGAACTGAAATATGTACATATGAAAGCTACAAGGTTCTCATAGCTCACAGTTTCTCTCAGTAGCTCAGAGGGAAACCCAACAAAATCCCTACACTCAGTGAGGAGCAGAACAGATTCCAAATAATCTACTGTCTTTCACATAGGTACACAATTATTCCTCAAAAGAAGCAGCAGAACGGGTGTGTGTGTTTTTTTTTTATTTGTACCAAAGCTTATATTCTATCTGTTTAATATGACAGTTTGTTTATCAAGGGTCACTTAGGGGGGGGGAATATCGGGAATCAATTAAGTTAATAAATAAATATATAAAATATGTGTGTGTGTGTTGAAGAAAAACACATTTTTCTGCCTTGAGTGTTAAGCAGAAATATTCAGTTTTATAGAGCACAAGAAGAGAGCCAGACAACCACAGGAAATCCTATGAGAGAAAAGTGCTTATAAGAAAAACACACAAAAACCTCTCAGAGCAGTGGGCAGGGATCAGGAAAGCAGAGAGAACTGAGATGAGTGATGAGAGTAATTTAAATCAGGGCAGATGATAATGAGGCTTCCACAGCTCTAAGACAATGGGAGTACTGAAGTTAGGAAGGATGAAGGCAACAGACACTTCAAAGAAAAATCTGAAGTTTAGTGACTTACTGGATATAGAAAATAAAGAGAAGGAGAAGCAAAAGAGGTGTTTGGTGCTTTACACCTTAGGACCAAGAGAATGGTGGCACCAATGTAATTTATTGAAGACATTTTTAGCAATAGAATAATCAAACAATTGCTTATTTCTGTAGAAATCAGAACCATCTGAATGCTGAGTTTGTGCCTGATGGTCGAAGTTCAGAATTTCCTCCAATTCTTGCAGTGTTCTTTGTTTGTTTGTTTTTTTTTTTTTTTTTGTTTTGTTTTGTTTTTAGCATTTCTGCCATGTTTATGTACATATTTAGAAAATGCTCACCAGTTTGCCACCAGTGGTCTAAGACGGGTACTCTGAAGACCTTTTTGGACCATTCCAAAGTCTCAACATCACATCGTTCTCCAGCCACAAATAATGTTTTAAACCTAAATATAAGAGGAAAAGTGAATTCAAATTACTCCTTGAAAATAAATCTAAATAAGTTCATCTACATTCTTTTAAACATTATACAACCTAAACACATTAATTTTTTTTTCTGAAGAAAGCAGCCATATTACCAGTATATCATACCGCAAAATGGTGAGAGGCATGATTTGTTTTGACCCAAATGGAACTTAATACACATCATGGCATTGGAGAGAGGTATTTCAAAAGTACAATTCACAGCTACAGCTTCTCAGCTTTGAAAAGAGCAACCAAGTTGATCTCTATCATAATCTGTCATCTTCATCTAATGCTTAATGATGAAAATCTCTTTTCCCCCTTGACATTATCTCTGCTAACTGAAGCTACAACTTTGATTGCTATGTTCTATTTAGGTCTACACACAAAATACACTCTCAAGTATCAGCTAAGACAACAATTATGTTCATATATATGATGCATGTGCTTCTTTCTTATGAGTTCATTTGGTAACGAGTACTCTGATTTCAAGCACATATTTCCCCTATTCCAAGGACGTATAAAGTAAATACCATTATGGCCTTCAAAGTTTAAAAAGGCTCTTATGGAAAGGAATACATGACTACTGAGAAATAAAGAATCTTTGACAGGAAGCCCCTATGCCACAAAATAAAAAGGATGAAATAGAAAAATAGAATTGGTTTGACACTATTGCTGGTTCATTGAGAGAATGACTATTTTTCTTCCATTCTCAATGTCTATGACCTGTCAAGAAAAAGGATGTGTGCATGAAGAGTTAATTTATTTATCATCAAAGTAAAAGAACAATCAGATAAATGAAAACCTGCCTACCCAATGTAATACAGCCACAGAAGATTTATTGCCATTCCCTAAACTTATATCATCTCATGAAGATTCATGGAGATTCAAATATTCTCGTCTTTACTTTCTAACAACATGCATTTCCTGTCTCTGCTATAAACACATTTCATTCTATAATTATTTGTTTCTTATCTATTCCCCACAGTGCACTGTGAGCCCCTTAGGAACAGTCATCTTTATCCCTCAACACCAGTAAAAATACTTGGGAATTTTAGATACTGAAACATTTTTTTAAATATATTTTACTGATTTATTCTTTTTCCAGAGAGGAAGGGAGAGGGATAGAGAGTTAGAAACATCGATGAGAGAGAAACATCGACCAGCTGCCTCCTGCACACCTCCTACTGGGGATGTGCCCTTAACCAAGGAACATGCCCTTGACCGGAATTGAGCCCGGAACCTTTCAGTCCACAGTCCGATGCTCCATCCACTGAGCCAAACTGGTTTCGGCATAGAGACTGAAACATTTATAGAAGCTTAGAAAGATGAAGTACAGTGGGGAGTTGGCTAAGTTTATGTCAGCTTGACTCATTCTATTAAGTAAAAGAAAAGGCATGTTGTTTTGTAAGAGCATGGAAATTGACAAAGGAACAATGGCTGGAAGAAAGAAAAGTCTTGGTTATTTTGGGGAATTTTAAATGTATTACATAAAAGTGAAAGAACTAAAGAGCAGCTTCTTGTTCTATTTAGGTCTTGGTAACTCAATCAGTAGTATAAGAGTCTAAGTTGACATAGCACAGGTTGGGTGTAATACAGAAAAGAAGGGATGGCAAATCAATGTTTGGAAATCTAAGCAAGGCAAGAGAAATGGGGAAACAAGGTAGGAATAACCATGATGGAGAAAATTACTAGGAAAAATAGGGGGGTAAGAGACAGGAAGAAATAATAGTGAGGTCACAGAATAAATTTTTTAAAAAAATCAATTAAAACAAATGTACTGTAGAATCAGAAAAAAAGAGGACCTAGTTGTGAGAGGGGTATTTCAAACTTTGACATGTTTAAAATGTGTCTCTTCTGAGAAAGGATGGTGTTTATGGTAGCAGAGAGAATCTAACATTGAAAGATACTGGATAAATCAAGTGTATTGATAGAGAAATGTATCCTCAAGATATTAAAAATCACTCAAGGATGGTAACAGTCAAGAGGGGAGAGGAAGTCCATGACTTGTTGACTAAAGTTGCTGAAGAGAGCTCTGAAGAGAAGAGAGGATTACATAAATTGCAAGAGCTATAATATAGAAGATGAGCGATTAAAAGAACAGAAGGATGAAACTCCTGTGAAGTCAACTTTAATATCCTCCTTAATTGTTATAATTAATCATGGCAGAGTCTCAATGTGGACATTTCAGACGCTCAACAGCCACAATAGCTAGTGGCCACCAAATAGAATAATGCAGTTAGAACATGACTTTCTGAAGAAGAAGAATTCCTACATTCACCAGGATGATCATTCTTTTTAGTTAACAGTATATATACAATTCCTCCTCAAACCATTATGTCAATATTTTTTTCTACTTGTATCTGAGTGCATTTATCTGTGTGAGTGTACAAGTGACAATAAATGCAACAAAGACAAATGATAATCTGTTATTGAATGATTCTATTAGACTGTCATCACAACAGCTTTGCAAAATTTTGCGTTTGGTTTGGTTTGGCTCAATAACTTGTCATAGTTACAGGACTTCTTATAATGGTGCAAGACACTGCCAAAAATAATGTTTGAGCCTGGCTGGTGTGGTTCAGTGGCTGAGCATCCACCAAATGAACTAGGAGGTCATGGTTCCATTCCTGACCAGGACACATGCCTGAGTTTTTGGTTGGATCCCCAGTAGAGGGCATGCAGGAAGCAGCAGATCAATGATTCTCTCTCATCATTGATGCTTCTCTCTCTCCCTCTCCCTTCCTCTCTGAAATCAATAAAAAAATATATATTATATATATATTTTAAAACTAATGTTTCAGTATTTGCCTAGTGGCATATTTTCCAACTACTTAGCCACTAGTCAGGCCTAGGCCTCATCCTGAAGGGGCTTTAGAGCAGTCTAAGAAATTTAGGTTTCATCATGAAGGAAGCGAGAAGCTAATTAAAGGCAATTAACAATTTTAAACAGGAGAATGGCACAGGGAGGTTTTTGCTTTAGGAAGCTCTAGAGGAGACAGACATGGAATTATTCCGGTCTGAGCAAAGAGACTTATCTCTACAAGACAATTCTCGTTGCCTTTAAAATCCTTTTAGAATACATTGTATGTTACTGAAAGAAGAAAACCAACATATAAACAAAACAACAACCAAAAAAGCCTCTCAAATACTTAATCCTAAATAAAAATAAAATGTAAGAAAACATAATTGGGAGGCAAACGCAGGTAATCATGACAAATTGTAAAAGCAGAAAAGACTGAATGAAAATGTAGTTCCATTGTTTTTGTGCTGCTTCAAGTTGTATCACACATACTTTTGAGACAGACAATTGATACATGATTTAAAATTAAGATTAAGTTAAAAGTATCATATTGTTTTTGTATATCACAGGAAATTTGAGCAATGAAAAGAATACACACATGTTATTGTACATATTAGGATTTTTATTGTAATTTTGCCATTTATGACTGCAGGAGGTTTCAAACATAGTTTTCCAGTTGATCAAAGAACTATTCTTTGTATTTCACTTAAAATGTAATAAAAGAAAAGAAAATGTAACTATTTTCTAGAACATATTTTATCTTTTTTACCTCCTTTTTCATCAATAATACAAGTGTAGCCTAGCCAGGGTGGCTCAGTAGCTGAGCATCGACCTATGAACCAGGAGATCACTATTCAATTCCAATCAGGGCACATGCCCAGGTTTTGGGTTGGATCCCCAGTGGGGAGCCTGTGGGAGGCAGCTGATCAATGATTCTCTCTCATCATTGATGTTTCTCTCTCTCCCTTTCCCTTCCTCTCTGAAATCAATAAAAATATATTTTAATAATACATGTGTAATAAATTTATTAGTCTGAAACTTTTTTAATAGTTTGCTGTTTGAAAAAATAAACAATATTCACCTGGCTGGTGCTGTTCAGTGGTTGAGCATGGACTCATGAACCAGGAGGTCAGGGACATGCCTGGGTTTCAGGCTCAGTCAATACTCAGAGGGGGCTTGCAGGGGGCAGCTAATTGATGATATTACTCTCATCATTAATGTTTATATCTCTCTCTACTCTCCCTACCTCCCTCTGAAATCAATAAAAAGTTATTTTTTAAAAAAAGGATATTATGCATCTTGATCATTTGTCATAAAATATATAACATGACGGTTTGGCTGATGCCAATAATATGAATAAAGAAAAAAAGGAAGAGATTTATAGTTATAAAAGGCCACATTTTTACCATCTGTCAACCACAGATTACTTCTAAGAGCTGTAGATGTCCCAGAGTTATATGTTTAGTTTCTATATAAAACTGAAGTCTAGAACCTTAAAAGTATTTATTAATAAAAATGATGCTAAACATTGTCAATTAAAAATGTTGGCACAAAATAATTTTTGGCTGATGAAGAAACAATAACTTAATATTCCAGCATTTTTACAAGTTGTATCATAATTTTTGTTTAATTAATTTTGGCATTACATACCAGCCAAGTAAATTACAATTAAATAATTAGATTATTATAATAAGCCATGCACTAGCAATCAATTCTTATCTGATGGAAAATTTTAGTATTACATATCTTAAAACTTAGTATTTATTGTTATGGTTGTCTACTACAATTCTATTATTTTTCTTTCCTTAGATTTAAATTACATTAATATTATGGTAGTAATCTTTATGCTGGCACTAAAGCAATACAGAAATATTTGATATTCAATAAAAAAATTATAAAAGTGCCCTAACCAATTTGTCTCAGTGGATAAAGTGTCAGCCTGCAGACTGAAAGGTCCCAAGGTCATTTCCGGTCAAGGACATGTACCTTGGTTGCAGGCACATTCCCAGCAGGAGGTGTGCAGGAGACAGCTGATCGATGTTTCTCTCTCATCAATGTTTTTAACTCTCTATCCCTCTTCTTTCCTCTCTGTAAAAAAATCAATAAAATATATGTATTTTTTAAATGGTAAAAGTGACAGCTAGCTTCATTGCAAGTTAGAGAATCCTTCCATTTCCATTAAAATCAAGATAAGAAAAAATTTTGAAATCATTGGTGATTTAGAAAAATGTAAAATTTGTATAGACACTTCCTTTCCCTGGATACATTACAAACTATCATTCACCTGTGGTTATTTAAAACTTAAATCAATTAAAATTTTCTAAAACTGAAACTATCAAATTTTTAGCAGTACAGTAGTGAATGGGGCTTGTGCCTACCTTATTATAGAGCTCAGTTTTATTAGGTAGTGCTACCCTTGATAATTATAGACTAACTAGAGGCCTGGTGCATGGATTCGTGCACCAGTGGGGTCCCTCAACCTGGCCTGCACACTCTCGAAATCCGGGACCTGTTGGGGGATGTCAGACTGACGGCTTCAGGGATCGGGCGGGCAGTCTGACATTCCCCAAGGGATGTAGTAGTGCGTGAAGTAGCAGTAGCCAGGGAGGAGCCCAAGCCCAATGGAGAGCTGCACTACTCCTGCTCATCCTGGCCCTGCTGGGTCTGCAGCTACTCAGTAAGCCTGCTGTGGGAACACACTGATCACCAAGAGGCAGCTCCTGCATTGAGCATCTGCCCCCTGGTGGTCAGTGCACATCATAGCGACCAGTCTTTCAGTTGCTTAGGCTTCTAATAGATTAATAATCTGGATGATATTCTGATGGTAACACACACAAAAATTGAATCTACTTCCGAATTTATAATACTAAAAATGTAAGCAAAGAAGATAATATGTAATATGCAGAGTAGGAAAAAGGAGGGGTGGGCATTAATGGAAAGGAGACCTATATGCCTTCCCCCAACTTTATGTAAAACTGAGTAAAATTCTAGATTAAAATAAAGTTGAAAATTAAGCAAAAAGGAAAGAGAAAAATGTTAGTGTTATCAAATTAATTTTAGTCAAAATGGATAGGAAGCGCCACTAACATGAATAAAGAGCTAAAAGATAAATTCTAGTGAAGAATTTCCAGGTAATAAAGTAGGGATAGAAAAAAACTAAAATGAATGTCTCATTCAAGGTCCATAAACTACCAAACCAGTGAAAATTACTCTTTTCTTATGCCAAAAAAGTTAAATAAAAATAGATTATTTCAGTGATGCCTCATCAACTCCTAGTTCACATGGCAAACATCATTACTTTTAGCCATCAGTGTTCCTGTGGTTACCCCCTCATTCTTTTATTCTCTTTCCTCAGGAGAAGAAAATTACTTCAAGAGAAAACTCAAAGTACTTTAAAAAAAACTCTCCACCATTTTGTTACCATTATTTACCACATTAATTTTGGCTTCTGTTTAAATACAATATCCCATCATAATTATTATGCCAAATATATAAATTCAACAAAATATTTTATTGGTTTTAGCAGTTACTTATTTTTTAAACCCATACCATTCCCCCATGTGTATTTTTCCTTTTATGGAAGTCTTTGGATTTTAAGTTCTTTTAGCTTTGTCCATATGAACATTTGTCTATTTTGCCCTCAGTCTTTAATTAAAAAAAATATTAGTTTGACAATTCTCCCTCAGCATTTTGAAGATCTTTCACAATTGTCACTTGAAATCTATTAGCATCAGTTTGATTTTCCTTTTTGGTGTTCTGTTGATTCTCTCTGTAGGTTATAGACTTTATCTATAGCCTCAACTTATGTTTTACAACCTCCAAATGGCATGTCCAATGAGAATTTACTTATATCTGACCTGCTTAGTACTTGGATGGTACTTCCACCTGAGATCTATCTGAATACAACCAGCCTTACCACTTTCTAATCCAGTCATTTCCAGTCTATAGAATTTTTTGTTTTTGTTTTGTTTTTTAGCCATCTCTGATGCTAGGTTTTTTTCTCTTTTGAATTAGCTCTAATTGCTAAGTAATTGGAAAAGAAAGACTGTATGAGGTATGAGGTACTGTGATATCTTGAATGGAAATCCCAGCACTGAATACAGGAGTGGGCAAAGTAGGTTTACAGTTGTTCATATGGAAAAACACATTCAGGTTATGATTATTACAATAGCTTTATTAACTCAAAGGAATGTCACAATGGCCAAGTACACTTATGTATAATCTCATAAATGCTCCAATTGCCAGCCTTCATTATTTACACATTCTTATAGACTACTTGCTATAATCAAACACAATTGTAAACCTACTTTTGCCCACTCCTGTATTTACTAACTTGATTAAGATTGAACTAGAAAACCATAGGAAAATAAACTACTATGATGTGATATAAAAGGCAAATGAATTAGAAAGCAGAAGATAATAATAGCTAAGACTTATTCTATGTTAAGAACTGTTACAAGTGCTTTTCATGACTTAGATACCTTTTATTTTCATTATATTATATTTATTACTCTTTACAAGGAATAAACGTAGGGGAGGGAGGCTAGGTCTCACACAGCCAGGAATGGTAGATTGAACCAGCTAGTCTAACTCCAGAGTCAGAATCTTAACTACCATACTGTACTGCCTAGTTCCAGCTTTGCCCCATAGTATTATAGTTGAGAAATCCAAGGAATGCTATTTCTCCTCTCTATGACATTTTCTCAACTGTAAAATGAAATGGTTACATTAGACAACTTCTAATCTATTTTTCCAAACTAGTCCACTATGATAAAATGAATATATAGTTCTGGCTACATAAGTACAAAAGGTCTTGAGCATAAGTATAAAAGTATGAGAAGAGTTGAATTTTGGTATTTATTCTGTCTCTAAACCAAATTTAACCTTTTTTGGACCTCAACTTCCTTGTTTTTAAAATGAGATAGTTGGATTTCTGAAATCCCTTCTGTTTCTAACATTCTCTTCGTTCACAAATGAGAATCCATTAAAGTAGTTCAGTGAAGGTATTATATCTGAATAGATTAAAAATATATGAAAAGTAAAAGTTGCTTTTGTCCCACAGGTGATAAAAATCTTTAGGCTTTCTTAAGTTTCTTCCTTTACCTCTCATGAAAAAAGAAAGTTTGTGGTATGTAATTAGGAATGTGGGGCCTAGTCAAACGGCCTGAATTATTTTCTTTCTAAATAGTTACTTAAAACACTCTGGGACCAATGTTCCTCATTTGTATGATGAAGATAACCACAATTCCTTTTTATTATGACAAAGCAAGATAAAAGTAAACTGCTTATGCCTAGCACATAGGAGATTTTGAGTATTTGCACTTATTAGTGGTAGTAACTTGAATAATTGAGGGTGTTTGCAGAGTCTTCATTCCTAAATACCTATTAGAAACGTGCACATCATCATAAATAATTTAGGTGCCTAAAGACAAAGGAGGAGGAACTTACTGCAATTTCTTTTACGCTAAAATCTGACTCCATATCTTTATGTATCCTTTGGAAAACGATTACTTAATAGCCAATTAGGACTGTTTGATGCTTTAAACATTAGCAATTAGAAACAGTTCTTGCCTTCACAGAAAAGATGGCATCTAAAGCCACATACAAACAGAAAAAGAAGATGATGCAGCAAATGAGCAACCTTAGTTTGCTGGTCACACAACTGAATGCCCTGCAATCAGAATGCATTTGTCAGTAAAGAGACACTGCAAGAAACCACAATCACTGCTTCTTCAAAAGCTCTGGAATTGTCTTAAGATATGAAGATTATACACAGCCTCAAATGCATTTACACAGTTTATATATCTATCCTTTTGACTAAAATGAGGAAAACCTAATTGAAATGTCACAATTGAGTGAATAAACAGAGGGTTAGTATAAATATTATAATAGAGGATTCATTTTATGAACACCTTTTAATTTAATAAGAAAGTACTCTTTGGATGATAAGTAAATTTGATGTAAACACAGATCTACTTTTTCATAAAATAAAAAAGGAAAAGGAAACAAATGAAAACACTGACCCTGCACAAACTGATTGCTTACATCTGCAATGGGTGTGTGTTATCTATTTTTAATTCCTTCTTTGAGCCTTAGCAACACAAAATTAATAACATTTGGTTTTTAACTTAAAAAAAAAAATCAAACCAACTTCATGCAAACACAGTTTCTGACTTGAGTAAACAATAAAATCTCTTCCTTTAGTTTATGATAGCAGTGACCTATTTCAAAGAAGTTCAATGAGAATCAATGCTGGAAACTGCCTTAAAGACACAAATTGCTATAATTATCTTTAGATACAAATACCATTACGCTAAAGAAGATGTCAATAAGCCAGCACAAAAGTAAACTATTCACAGCATTATTATTATAAAATAATAAAAATAAGTTTCTTTACTCTTTCAACAAAGGTAATTTGAGCTATAAATTTCATATTTTATCTGTATATGTAAAATAAAACAATATTTTTCTTCTATTAAAACCATTATTTTATTTTCAAAAGACAGGTATATACAGAGTTATAGATATAGATTATATAAGTATATATCTATATAAAATGCATGTATGTATGCATTTTATTTTATTTTTTTGTATGTATACATTTTAATTTATAGTCAGCATTTTACTTTAAGAAAAATATAAGCAGAGTAGTTTTAAAAATATTTTGGTAATATTTGCACTGAAATAAGCATAATGTGGTATTTAAAAATATCCATGGTGTAATTAAAATAATCCCAAGTGTTTCAAAGATATGTTTAGAACAATCATTCTTAATATCATTCAGAATGTTTTGGTCCTCTCCAAGAAGATATTGCAATGCCAGAAAAAAATCAAATGCTCAGTCATTCATCCAGATTGCAGTTTTTGATGTAATTTGCCTTGTGCATCCCATTCACCTTGTTAGTGAGTACTGCTTCCCCAGGGCTGCCCCCGGGTCCTGCTGGCGGATTGCTCTGATTGCCGTGGGCGCTGTGAACAGGGCAGCCACGCCGTGCTCCGCCAGCACGCGGAAATAGGCGCCAGCATCCGGGGTCCCCACAGGCTTCCCCTGCAAAGAGATCCATTTGAAATGTCATTGGGTACAATGCCTCATATTTCATTGGCGAGTCAATACTTATACATTTAGCACAGAAATGTTAATAAACTGGGACTCTCAACAAATCTTACTTTTAAAATATTCCCATGTTCTATCATAAATAAAGCAAACCAAATGGCCTCAGAGAGGTCGTTTGTCCCATTACAACCTAAAAGCTTTTCAAACTCCGATTTTTCTTTTCTTTTTTTTTTTTTTTGAGTGTGTAATTCAAACTAATAGTATCCAACAGTCTTTTATTTTATAAGAAATTAAATCTATGGTTTTGTATGGTAGGCTGAAGGAGAAATTTAAGTATAAGCAATTGCTAACTTATCTTTTTTCTTCATGATCACTATTACAAGTGACAATAATAAATCTTAAAATATCTGAGAAGAGATAAAAATCTGAATCACAGTGATTTCTGAGCAATGATCTTTTCAATTAAATGTCTTTCTTCAAGGATAGCAAATTCTATGAATTTTTAAAAAATTCAATAAGACATCCCAAAATGCGTGTTTTATACAGCCTCAACATGACATTATACATGTCCAGTCAAAATTCATGCATAAAAATCTAACAATTATGACAAATGATGCAATTAAAAAGAACACAAAGCACTTTTAACTAATGTTTCTGCAATGTGGAAAATGAGTATGTCATTTAAACCAATAAATAATTCCGCAAAAAGTTGAAATGGCCCACAAAAATCTATCTTGGCTCTGCCATACCCTTTATTCTTCAATCCATTCTCATCTGTGCTGATTCTTCTATGTTTCTATATCCACGTGCCTGGCATGTTAATATATGTTATATGTGTACCATTTCTTAAACTTTGACTACATATCCCATCTGAACACTCCAAGGATCTTTTGGGAAAACATACTTAGTTCAGAAACACTGAACTAAGGTAAAAGGAGAGAAGTTTGCTGGCAGTAAACTAAGAGATCTCCTCACAAAGAATACTAAGTGAAAGATGATAATATAAGGTAGACCATAACTGTTCAATAATATAGATTTACTATTCACTTCTAATTGATAGGGCATGACTTCAACTTTACTTTTTTTTTCATAGTTGTTTTTATTATTCTTTAATGAAAATTACATTAATTAAAAAAGTTCTTTAGGGCTTCCTTATGTTCTTTTGCTTTTTTTCTTGCTCCTTTTTTTAAAATATAGTTTAATTGATTTTTGAGAAGAAGGGAGAGGGAGACAAAGATAGAAGTATCGGTGATGAGAGAGAATCATTGATCAGCTACCCACTGCATGGCCCTACTGAGGATCGAGTTCACAACCTGGGCACGTGCCCTGATTGGGAATCAAACCATGACCTCCTATTTCTTAGGTCGACACTCCACTACTGAATCATACCAGCTGGGCTCTCTTGCTCTTTAAATACAAAAGAAAGTATTATTGCAACTAGAAATTTACTTTTCATTATCTCAGCTATCCCAAAAGACTTGATTGTATTTTATTTCATCACCACTCCATATAGATTAACACATTGACACAGTATACAACCTGGCAACTCATGTACATAATTTGACTAACACATTTTGAAGCCTTAATCACAGTGGTCTAAAAATGAGTCAGCAATTTTATCCTTTCTAACCAAACAAGGTAAACATTTGACTTTTACTTCTTTGATCTATCTTAGGCAATGATCAGTTCCTTGTGCAGTAGATTGTGACTTTGGGAAACTTGATCCTAACCTCATAAGGAATGATTTGTCAGATGACCTTATGCAATTGACTTGACATTTTCTTGCCTGCTAAATCAGAATAAATCACTGATCTAATATTTCCTCAATAAGCTAAAAGCACTGAGATAATATTTTAAAGTAGTTTGACCTCCACTTAAGTAAGATATTTTACATCCAATTGAAGTTCATGCGACAATAATATACTTACTAAAAGATATGAGCATCATAATGAAAATGCTATCCCATAATGACTATCTACATAGAGGGCACATTTGATGTAGTTTACAAGGCCTTTAATTAATTATGTCTAAAGATAACAATAATGATTAAAGTATTAGAAATATTAGTTAGAAACATTGCCATTCTTTTATAAATAATATAAAATTATAACGATTGTTGCAATTCTGAAACTGCCAAATTTTCATTAGTATTATATTTACCAAGTCTAAAAATCAGATAACATACCATTATTATTAGGACAATGAAAGATCAATACATAAAAGTTTACAATGTTTTTTGTTGATCTCAGTTTGTTCAGTTACTTTGCATTTTATTGTCCATTCCCAGATCATTCAAGGCTATGAATATGATGCTTCCTTATTTTAGAATTGCTTTACTATTTGTATATTTTAACATTTTATTTGCTTATAGATTTCCATTTTACCTCAAATTTTAAATAAATATATGAGAAACCAATATGGTGGCTCAGGTAAACACCTAACTGCAACCTCACACAACAATTTCAAAAAAAAAAATACAACTAAAATACAAAATGGACATTATCCAGAACTACAAGAAAGTTGACTGACTGGAAATTCTAAAACTAGAAAGAAAGAGAAAACCAGAAGGAAAATCAGAGGAGCTGTAAAAACCTAAGATACAGAGACACGCTGTGGGAATTGGGAGAGGGCAGAGCTGAAGAGGAGGGGGTGGCTAAGTGCCTGGCTGGTATTCCCTAGTGGGAAGGAGATAAAAGCTCCGGACTGTGCTGAACCCCAGTTCTGAGAGCAATGAACCCCAGTTCTGGGCGAGACCCTGGGGACCCAGGCTCATATGGAGGGAGTCTGGGCTGTAAGGCAGAAACTCAGGGGAGCGGCGAAAGGCAGAGCCCCCAGAGGCGCGCACATTATGCACAGAGGATGACGGACTGTTGACTCTGCTGCTAGATTGCCCTAGCGGGAAGGAGACAAATGCTCCGGAATGTGCTTAGCCTCAGCTCCGACTGCACTGAACCCCAGTTCTAGGCCAGACCCTGGGGACCCAGGCTCATATAGAGGGAGTCTGGGCTGTAGGGCAGAAACTCAGGGGAGCCAGGAAAGGAAGTCCCAGAGGAGAGCTCATTGTGCACAGAGACTGTGCAGCTGGATTGCCCTAGCAGGAAGGAGACAAAAGCTCCAGGCTGCTCTGAACCTCACTTCCAACCCCACTTTCAACTGAACTGAACCCCAGTTCTGGGCTCATTGGGGGAGAGCCTAGACTGTTCGGTAGCAGGCAAAACTTGAGGGTACCTTTCTCTCAGAGGTGCTTGCAGCGAGTACCAGAGGACCATGAGGAACACTGAGACGCAGGAACCTAATAGCACAGGGCTGATGGAAGCCAAGGCTGTAGGCTCCACCCTGAAACTCCGCCCCATCCAAGCTGAGCAGAGGCTATTGCAGTTTTCCAAGTCTAGTAGAATAAGGTTTTCTCCTCGCATAGACACAGCTGATCCTCACAGCCAATTGGCCAAGAGGTTAGTTCCTCCCAGTGATACCAACAACAATCAAGACTTAACTACAACAGGGCTGTACACACAGTCCACAAAATGGGGCACCAAGAGTGTCCACCTCAGGTAACTGGGAGACTGACCCTCTAAACCACATAGGACACCTTAGCACACAAAGCCACCCTACCAACTCAGGGAAGCAGCGAAATGCCGAGACAAGGAAACAGATCACAAATGAAAGAATGGAGGACAAAAAGCGACTGGATATAGAGTTCAAAACCACGCTTATAAAGTTTTTCAAGAATTTCCTAGAAAAGGCCAATAAAATAAATGAGATCTATGAGGATATGAAAAGGGATCAACTAGAAATAAAAAGGGATCAACTAGAAATAAAGTATACATCGTCTTAAATAAACAATATTATACCGAGTCCTAAAAACAGAATGGAAGATCGCAAGAACCAAGTCAAAGATTTGGAACATAAAGAGCCAAAAGACACTCCGCAGAAGCAAGATGACAAGAGAATCTAGAAAATTGAAGATAATGTAAGAAACCTCTGGGACAACTTCAAGCGAACCAACATCAGAATTATGGGGATCCCAGAAGAAGAGAGAGAGCAAGATACCAAAAACATACTGGAAACTTCCCCCCCCCTGGTGAAAGAATTAGACTTACAAGTCCAGGAAGCACACAGAACCCCCCCAAACAAAAGAAATCCATAGAGGACCACATCAAGACACATCATAATTAAAATTCCAAGAGCAAAAGACAAAGAGAGAATCTTAAAAGTAGCAAGAGAAAAGCAGGTAGTTACCTATAAAGGAGCACCCATACGATTGTCAGCTGACTTCTCAACAGAAACCATGCATGCCAGATGGGAATGGCAAGAAATATTCAAGGTGATGAATAGCAAGAACCTACAGCTAAAAATACTCTATCCAGCAAAGTTATCACTCAGAATCTAAGGCCAGATAAAGAGCTTCACAAATATAAAAAAAAAAGCTAAAGGAGTTCATCACCGCCAAACCAGAATTATATGAATTGGTAAGGGGGTTCTTTAGGAAGAGGAAGAAAATAAAGATAAAAATTATGAACAACAAATACGTAACTATCAACAAGTGAATCTAAAAACCAAGGAAATTAAAAAAAAAATCTGATGAACAATATTAACTGTTGAACATAATAGAATCAGAGGTATGGAAGGGGAGTGAACTGACGATTCTTGGGGATAAGGGGAGGGGGGAGGTGCGGGAAGAGACTGAACATAAACTGTGCACCTATGGATGAGGACAATGGGGGATGGGGAAAGAGCAGAGGGTGGGGTGGGAACCTGGTGGAGGGGAGCAATTGAGGGGGAGAAAATGAGGAACATTTATAATAATCTGAACAATAAAGATTTATTAAAAAAAACATATTATGCTATAGTAAAGTACTTACTGTTCCCCAAAACAACTATGAATTAATACAAACATTAGGTTCTGAATGATGTAGACACTTTAGGTAATACTATGCAATACTGAGCAAGATCTTGCATCAGAAAACATCCTATATAATAAAGAGGCAATGTGT